TTATTCAGGTGACTGAAGTACCTAGCCAAGGCCGCAAACATTGCTGTCAATAGAGTGCATCATGCCGATGTTTCTTAGGGAAGAATGCGAAGTCAAATAGTTTCCACAAAAGTCCATTATATTTGCCTGTTTTCTTCTGGAAAACAAATGCCTAATGTAGAAAGGCTTGACATTGAAATAACTTTACTGCATCTGAAACTTGATCTTGTGGATTGATCTGATTGCACCAGTTGTAATAATTATTTGTTTCATAAGCACCTGAGAAATCGTGATTTCAAAAAAATTACTGAGAATCAAAACTAGATATTCTATTGAAACAATTCTGAACACTGAACTTATCATCTGCTGCATGTGTCACTAACACTAATCATTTTTTTAAAACTTGGAAATGCAGAAAATAAAGCAAGAATTACATGAAGTACTTTAATTTCTACATAAAGTACCCTCCAAAGCAGGCTTCCGTACCTTCACATTAGGCTATCACTGAAGATCTACCTAATCACTTCCTGACTCCTGCCCCACAACCAAAAAAATGGCTTGAAATAGTGTGTCAAATATAAGATAGGGACTGATAAAAGTGAGTTCAACTATGCCTGCAGAGGACAGTGTCCTGCTCATTGTGGCTTCCTCAGTAACTATCACACTGCCTGATGTGAGAAATAAGAAGTTCAGAGAAGTCAGCAGACCTGGAGTCAAGCTGCCTGTCCAGTCCTGGGTCAGTCACTTAATAACAGCTCCTGTCTCAGAGTTGTGAAGGTGAATGAACTTACAATACATGTGAAATACCTAGAACAGTTCCCAGGATGTGCTGACTGCTCAGAGGTGTGAACCCATTATTACTGCCACCTCACTATACAGGAATTGAATGAATGAATAGATGAAAGAATGAATGATGTTTCTTAGTAAAGGCTTTTTAGTCTTATAGGGTCTCCTATCCAAAAAACTTATTCCTTCAGGGTCACATTCATTCACCTGTAATGGCACTAAAGACAGTTTTCAAATGGCAAGATAATCCTTGATGGTTGAGGCACAGCAAGAAACCAGAGACACCTAACAGGAAAGTACCAAAGATAAATCACCTGTACTTCTCTGTTTTGCGTGAGGCAGACCTGCAGGTGTCTGGATTGATGCCCAGACATTCCCAAAGAATTGCTCAAGCAGCAAAATTTTCAGTACCTAAGAAATAGAGAGCCCAGAGGCCTTAAGAAACCAGAAAAATACTTTCATGGAATTGTAAGAGTCATATTTCCAACTTTATTCCTTCCTTGCCTCTTAAAAAATACCCAAATAGCTGATATAACTCATTATAGAAGTGTACTAGTAAGATACTAAAAAATGTGTAAAAACAATTATCTCTTACCCTTTACTCACTGTCCAACAAGTAACTACAAGAGCCAATTCATTTAACCTCATTAACTATGTTTCTGGAGAGGACCGTGAGGAAACAACCAAGTATTTTCAAATTATCATTAGACACTCAATGTATGTAGGTAATTCAGTGATGACTTTGTCCGTAAGTTATGGTATTGCTATCAAGATGGCCATCATGCAGACTGCTGCTCAGCACTGACCTAAACATAGGAGAGGTTTCCGGTGGCACCGTAGCCGCTCGGCGGCATTGAAGGAATAGCCAGATGTATAGGGGAGGTGAATTCCAGTACTTACGAATGCACCTCAAAGTACTTGAAAGACAAGCCAATTTTAAACTCACAGTCACACAGCTGAGATTCTCCTTTCCTCTCCTTTCTACTTTGCTCAGGATGTTGTGTCTCTTCAAACCTCTCCCTGCAGCTCGGGCCCTGACGGGTTCTGCTTCCCCCCTCCCCTATCACTTAGGCACCTGGACCCAGCCTGCCCTGCTGCTTTCTCTTCGCTTCTCCCATCATCATCCCAATTCTTCAGAATCAAAGAAAGCCTAGGAGCTGAACAGGAAGCAGGAATTCGTCCCACTAAGTGATTTCAATGGCTGAGGGAAGAGGTAACAAAGCTAAAGAAAACATTTAGGTAAGTGGTTACTATCAGTGCAATAATACATCCTCCGAAATAGAGTTTCAAAAGTTTCAAGATTTCACTTTAAATTTATCTATTGAATTGTTAAATAGTTTTGGAAGAACATAAATCAAGCTTGACACCAATTGTCAGATGAACAAGTTTGTGGGGTTTTTTTCTTTTTTGGCTTAATATTTTAGAATTTTCATCTTTAACAACAGCTTTTTTTCCTGATAACTTTTAAAATGGCACCTCAAAGAGTTTTAAGTTTCAGATGATTTGGACATTTATGTAAAACACATTCTCTCACTTGTCTTCCGGGAACTCTTCTATATTTTGCCATATTTTTATTTAATCAACAGCCTCCTTTCATCAAAATAATTAATTTATTTAAGCTTAACTTCTTAATTTTCAAGTAACCCCTCACTTTTCTCCCAACACTTTGGAAACGAAGAGTATGGGGAAGTGTGAATCTCTTATTTCTTCTCTCCTCCTCCCCCAGAGTTTATTTTAGGTGTTTTTCTTCATTGCATCTTCAAGAATAGATGGTCTATTTGTGCTCATTAGCTAACTTCTGATTGCTTAGCAATTCCCTTAAACTGAGTAGAGATTAGCCTTTTTTTTCCTGCAAACATAGTTATATATCTTGCCTTTCTGCCACCTTTATAGTATTACAGGTGGGAGAGGGGAGAGATGACAGGAAAGAGGTGGTTTCAGAAATAAAAGTAATCACGGAGACAGGCTCTTTCCCTTCTGTCCTAGAATACAAAAACTCCAGGTGGCATTCCTAAAATTCTCAGCATGACTCTGACCTTACAAAAACCCAAGTAGGGCTGAAATTTATAAATTGACCCAGAAGAATCTTAAGCACAGGGTGTGGAAAACAGAATAGCATACAGTCTTTGAATACCAAATGATCTGCTTTTCATATTCCTAAATTCAGGTTTGTTTCCATGTAGGGCCCAATTTTTTATTTTATCTAAAAGAGTTCTGCTTTTACTTCAAAACCATGCTTCCTGGCATGTTGTCCCAGTTGCTGGTCTACCTGCTCCACATGCTGCATGCCTGTTGTTAGCTGCATTATGGAAAAATGACATGTCTATGTAGAGGGAAAAAATAACTGATCATTTGACATAGGGTTTTCTTTCCAAACACCATTCTCATTTTCCTTATTTCTCAGGGCTATAAAAATAATCATGTGGGACATTTTGAGTTAATAGAAATAATTCCAATAAATACCCCATTATCACATCATAAAACACAGAAGAACACTGAGTGTTAGGTTATCCTATGTGGGCAAGAGCTGAGACTCAGGTATTCTGGCTTGTGGAACTAGGAAATACCTCTTCCCAAAGGAACTGAGTTTTAGTTGTTTTTATACACACTGCTTTACAGGAGTAGGAAGTGGGGCACCCTGTAGAGGCAAGATCTCCACCACGTCCATGATTAGGTTTCAGGCATCTTTGAAGTTCTGGGGCAGGGCGCAGGAGCTCTGAGAAAGATGAGCCACTTACAGAGGATTTCGAGAAAATGGGATCACAAGCCACATTTGGCTACGTGGCCAGAGGCAAAGGAGACTGGTGTTTCCACGCAGAATGGCAGCTGGAACTGAGAACCTGTCCGGACTCAACTACGCTCACAGGAGGTAGGCGTCCAGGTAAATAGAAACGATTTGAAGCAGAATGTTGCCTTACTGAATGAAAGCACTTCAGGGACGCAAACTCCGCTGCCTGCCGAGGGACCCCATGACACAGAGGAAATCAGCATTTACTCCACTTCAAAGAAACTGCTGAGTATGCCTAGCACCAAAATAGCTGACAGAAAAAGTGACTAGGGTAAAACAGCAGGGATTTTTTTTTCTTTTGGAAAGTGAAGAGAGAAGAGGGAGGTTACAGAGAACTATGAAAAATAGGTGGGATCAGAGAAGATACGGTGTAACTGACAGACTAATTCATGAGGCTCATGTAAGGCGCACTCACATCTAAGAACTCCCAGAAACACTCGTATCTCTTATTGCACCGGCTGCAGACCGTAGGAAGCCATTCATGGGCCTGATGCAGAGGACTGACCACAGAGAGATCCCAGACTCCGAGCTGGATGCATCACTGGGGCAGATTTCAGGTTTTCTCCTCTGGGGAGGGGGTTAGTGTGTTCAGTGTATGTGAACAGGGGTGTGTATGGATACCTGGTGGCCAGAGAAGAGGAATATAGTAGGGATGGACTGTCCGCCAAAGATCCAGACCCCCATTCCAAGTTCCCGGGTGCCAAGGAACTTGCATTTCCAGCCCCTCAGGGATGGGCCCTGTAACTGAGCCCCAGGCAACGGGACAGGGCGGGAGTGACACACACAGCTTCCACCCCCAGCCCCAAGCAGCTTCTGGCGCAGCTGTCCCCCTCTGCCATCTGAAGGTTGTATATTAAAGCTGGCAATGACTCCATCAGTTTCTGTCCTTGAATACTACATGAAACAGAATTACCACCCTCTTTCCACTGCCCAGGGAATTTATATGAGCAGAAGTAAATGTCACCTTGGGTTTAAACAGAAATTTTTAAAGTTCATCTATTATAGTAGCTAATATGAATATAACAAAACATTCCATAAAAGTGAATTTTTATACTACCCATGTAATCCAAAAAGTGAACAGGGGATATAATCTATTCTATTTGAAGAAACATGATATCTCACATTAAATTATAAATTATTCTAATTATAATACATAGAAACTTAAACTTGAATAAATTTCAATTATATAAGCCAAGTAGAAATTCTATATTCAGCATTATAGCAGGCTAGCTATCCTCCAACTAAATAGTCTTAATATGCTAGATTTTAAAATATCTCTTTAAATTCATCTGATCTGGGAAAAGAATGGGAAAATGTTCAGATACCAAAAATGACAAGAATAAATCCAGAGTGGGGAACAAAGTGCTGAAACTAATGACTCTCCAAAAACAGGTGGGCAGGTCACTGGCTTTTAACTTAATGGATGTGAAATTAAAAAACAAACCTAGTGCTTGCTTTGGCAGCACATATACTAAAATTGGAACGATACAGAAAAGATTAGCATGGCCACTGTGCAAGGATGACATGCAAATTCATGAACTGTTCCATATTTTTTAAAAGAAAAGAAAAAAAAAAGCTAAAGGCATCCAAAAGATAAGATATCACATCACAATCCTCCAAAAGGCTGGTCCCCAAAAAAGGGTGACTCTTCAATAGAAGAGTGAATTATACAAATAAAAGCACCCACAAAGGAGGACAATGTGTGGAGAGAAACAAAAAGCCTCACCTGGGAGTTCCTGACAATAAGACTAACTTCATAGCAGATGCAGGATCAGAATTTCTATCACTTTTATGGCCTGGAAAAACTCCAATGGAGAACTAAGTCAATCTAGTCCAAATTAAACTGCCCCTAGATGCTCGGCAGAGGCAAACACACAACCTCTCTGGAGAAATTACCTCAAGCCCAGACCTCAAAGAATTCTTACAGATAAAACACTCAGTCATCATAAGCTCACAAGCAAAATGCAAAATCAGAACAGGGAACAATTCTGTGGGAATGAAACTCATATGACCAACAACAAATCAGACCCCCAAAAGCTGCAGGTGTTAAAAGTTATCATAAACAAACTATAAAATATAAATAATAATTTTAAAGAAAAAAAGGTAGTAAAAGAATCTGACAAAGGAATAAGAAACTATCAAAAGTATGAATCTGACTTGAGCTGTAAGTAGAAATGAAAAATATAATAATATTAGAAATTCAATGGATGAGTTAAAATAACTTACTTTACATGGCAGAAGAGAAAGTTGATGAACTAGAAGATAGAGTTGAATGAAGACTGAACGTGGAATATAACACAAAGAGGCAAAAATGAATAATTTGAAGTCTGAAATTTAGGAAACATCAAGTTCAAACTGAGAAGATGTAATACATATCCACATTTCCAGAAGAAGATTCTAGAAAGAATGGAAAAGAAGTACTAACTAAAAAGAATTTTGTTGGGGGAGCTGATGAAAGATGCCTAACCTCAGATTTAGATATCCAAAAAAATCTCAAGCAAAGTAGCAGGAAGCAATCCACACCTCGTTTGTCATGATGAACCTGAAGGGGTGAAAGGATTTTAAAAGCCACCAGAGAAAAACTAAAACAATGAGACTGACAGCTGACTTCTCAACCATTGAAATAGAAACTCAAAAATAACTGAATGAAACTTCGACATACCAACAAAATATAATTCTTAACCTCCAAGTGATTTTCGACAAGGGTGATGTGACCATTCAATGGGGAAAGGGCATCTCTTCCACAAATAGTGTTGGGAAACCTGGATAATAATATGCAAAAGATTGAAGTTGTACCCTTACCTTGAACTATATACAAAGACTAACTCAAACTGGATCAAAGACCTGAACATAAGACCCAAAACTATAAAACTCCCAAGAAAACTTAGGGGAAAGCTTCATGACATTGGGTTTGGCCAGGATTTCTGTGATGTGATACCAAAAGCATAAGCCACAAAAGCAAAAACAAACAAGTGGAACTACCTCAAAACTAAAAACTCTATGCATCAAAGAACACAATCAACAGAACAAAAAGGCAATTCACGGAATGGGAGAAAATATTTGCAAGTCATATATCAAATAAGCAGTTAATATTCAGAATTTAGCATGTAACCCAACAACAACAAAAAAACCTACAAAAAACTCAATTAAAAAACAGGCAAAGGACTTAAATAGACACTTCGATAAAGATGATACAAAAAGAGCTGACAAACATGAAGATACTCAACATGACTGATCACCAGGGAAATGCAGATCAAAATCACAACGAGATATCACTTCACATCCATCAGGATGGCTACAATTAAAAACAAAAACAGAAAATAATTGTTGGCAAAGATGTACAGAAACTGGAATCCTTGTGCACTGTAGGTGGGAATGTAAAATAGTGCAGCTGCTATGTGATACAGTTGGGTAGCTCCTCAAAAATTTAAAACAGAATTACCATATGATCCAGCAATTCCATTTCTAAGTATGCAACCAAAAGAATTGAAGGTAGGATCTGAGAGGTACTTGCACGCCTGTATTCACAGCAGCACTATTCCCAAGGGGCCACCAACAGGCGAATGGATGAACAAAAAAGTGGTATGTACATACAAGAAAATATTACTCAGCCTTAAAAGTGAAGGAAATTCTGACAAATGCTATAACATGGACAAACCTAAAGCAATTATGTCAAGTGAAATAAACCAGTCACAAAACAACAAATACTATATGATTCCACTTATATGAGATACATAAAGTAGTCAAATTCACAGAGATGGAAATATAATGGTGGTTGCCAGGGGCTGGGAAGAGGGGGAAATAGGGAGTTGTTTAATAGATACAATATTTCAGTTTTGCAAAGTAAAAAAATTCTGGGGACTGGTTACACAACAGTGTGAATATACTTTACTAAAGTATACATTTAGAAATGGTTAAGTTGGTAAACTATTTTATATTTGCCACAATAAAAATTGCTTAATAAAATTAACTACATACAGATACACACATATATATATAATTCAGAATGTAGAATTAAATACCCTGCTATCATTCAAGAATGAGAGGAAAAATCAATTACTCAAATATTCTTTATCAATTATTTTTAGTTTTTATGCTTGGTTTTATACCTGAAATTTACATAAAGATTATTTTTTAATAAGAGTACTGATGAACCCACCACAATGTTAACAGAATACTATCAATAACTATAAGCCCTCTGCGCTCCTTTGCCCAAGCGCATCTACCTTTCTCCTCCCTCCAGACATCAATACTGTCATTTTTACATTATTGTCTTACTTTTCTTCATAGTGTAAACTCACATGAATTTTTTAATCCACATGTTGGTCAGTTTTGATTGTTTTTTGAATTTTATGAAAATGAAATTCTGTATCTATTTTTTCTGCAGTTTGCTTTTGCACCTCATCCTCACTGCTAAGAGAGTCTCCTAACACATGCAGCAGTCTTACCAAGCTGTAGAGCTGCATCTTAGGCTGGGCACTTGTTTAATATTTTCAAGAAATGCAAAACTGTTTTCCAAAGCAGTTTCACTGACTGACATGTCAAGCAGCAAGATTAAAGTTCTCTTTTTTTAAAAACAACTTTTTTACTTAAGTTATATCCTCTGAAAACTGGTCATATTTTCCTTGCTATGTGGGAGGTCTATGTTGTATGGCTAAAAATAATTCATTCAGTATACTTCTTTACTGTTTGACTCTGACTTTTTATTTATAAATAACCCTACTGTCTAGTTATACTCACTCCCCTGCATGTGCAAATTTTCCCAATTCCCTGCATACTCTACTGATTTTACAAGTTTTAACTACCATGAATATATTCTTCTGTGACATTATTTAGAAGAAGAAATTGTTTAGTTCAAAGTTTTATGGTTGAGGCTTAAAAACAGGTGTTGTAATGAATGATAATTATCTTCTGGGAAAGAGAAAAGCATGTACCATAGGACCACACTAGTCTACTGGGATTTAAATGCTAATGGTACCTGTTTAAGCCCTCCAGTCTTTGGTTTCATCAGCCTTCATGACTGACACAGCTTAAAAGACACCTGATATTTGAGCTCTACTCTCAACTCTGCCTCTAAGTACCTGTGTGACTTTAGGAAAGGTCAAGAAACTTGACATCCATTTTTGTACTGGTGAAATAAAGAATTAACAAAATGATATCAAAGGTCCATGCCATCTGAAAAATTCTATTGTTCTATGATATTGTGTCACTAACTGGCAGCTAGCAGGCTTTATCCATCCCACGAAGGTCTTTTTTGGGGGGAATGGCTTTATTACATCATTCCCCCACCCTAACAATGTTTATGGATGGATGTGCAATCCCTAGCTTTCTACAGGATCCACTGCTGTCACGTCCTGATCTAAACACTCATGTTGCCTTCCTGGACTTGAAACATTTGAGTTTTTAAGCCCTATTCTACAGTAAATATTCTTATCCACTAAGGTAATATGAATTTAACACAGCAACAACTAATTCTGTAGAGAGTGCCTATAGTTAACAAACTGTTTTTCATGTGAATTATGTCATCTGTGACAGTCATCCTGGTGATTATTTTGATTAAGAAATATTTAGGATATCTCTCCATTGCCCAAATATTAGCAAAACAAGTTGAGATGTCTTCTTTACTAATCCACAAGCACAATCTCATACACATAGGAAGTGCGGTTCCTCTCTTTATGAAGAAGCCAAAACTCAAGCTGCCAGCTTCCCACTGGTGCCTGGGGCAGAAGCCAGGCTACAGGAAATGAAGTGGGAGCAGGTGCTCTTTCGCACATGCCTCGCTCTGCCCAGAGCCAGTCTGGAAGCCTCCTCCAGGTAAGGTGGGGGAGCCAGGCTGAACATATGCTCACAGAGGGGGAGTCAGGAGACAAGCAGGACGTCAACATCCACGTCTTGGCACGAGCTATTAACCCTTGAACATTTCCCAACTGCTCTCCATAGGGAAGAGGAAAGAAAGCCCCACATTTCAGTGAATTTAGTGACATATCCCAAAACATGCCTTCCTAAATTCACAACCCCTGAGAGAAGTCCACGCAGGACATTTGCAAGTTGGCACTGTCTCACAAACATTGCTTGTCTTGTGTTAATGTGTTTATTTGGATTTTAAGGATTGTCTTGCTTGCCCACAGGCAGTCAAAAGAACATGCATGCCTTGTCAGCCAGACTGGCTGTAACCGTTATCATAACCTTTACTAGATCTGCTGACATTCTGTTTTTGTTCCCAGTCCAGATGTCATGTTTAATAGAGTAGATTCTCTCATTATGTGCATTAGTGCCCAGGAATGCCAACATAATTCAATGAATTGCTGGATGTTTGAAGAAAGGACTTCATTTTTCTAAACTGTTCAGATTTTCTATCAGCCACCTACAAACTAGGGCATTCACTGCCTACTTAATCACCTGAGCTTGCCCCAGATATAATGTTCAATTAATCTAAATATAGTATGGTTTCCTATTAATCAAGTCAGCTGGAATATACCATAAGGTAGTAGTATGAGGCTGTGTCACTACTCTTCTGAATAACAACAGTTTTGCTGGCAGAAATTCTAAGTCCG